AAATATAAGACAGGGTCTTATTTTCGGGGAAACACGGTATATAACAATAATTTTCTGCCACTTTCTAATGGGTGTCTGGATTTTGGTCTCCTTTGGCATCCTAGGCAAGACCGTATCCTAAACCAAAAGAGAATACACTGCAATTCAGGTAGTCCTCGACTTGCGACCACAACTGAGCCCCAAATTTCTAGGGCTGAGTGAGCCTCGCCCCGTTTTACGACCCTTTTTTTTGCAACACAATCGCTGCAGTTGTTCAGTTAACGACACGGCTGTTAAGGGAACGTCGAGTTGGCTGGTCAGAACATCCGGCAAAAGGGGAACCACGGGACACTGGAACCGTCGTAAATACGAGTCGGTTGGCAAGCATCTGAATTTTGATCCCATGAAACCATGGGGATGCTGCAACGGTCGTGCGGAAAAAAAAAAGTGCACTTTTTTCCCCCAGTGGCGTTGCAACTTTGAAAGGTCAGTAAATGGACTGTTGTAAGTTGAGGACTTGCAAGGAAACATTTGGGTAACTGAGGTACACAGGGATCCCTTCCTCAGATTCTGTTGATAAAAAACCAAAACAAGTCAAAAAGGAAGCGAGGAATAGTCGAGGAGCCACCAAAGTAAGTCAAACGCTGAAAAGACTCCATCTCATGCTATTATTAAATCATCATCATCATCATCATCATCTCTATAACAACAACAACAACAAACAACAACAACACAGGATTCTGAGCCGCAGAGAACATCATTTGCTCTGGCAGAGAAAAAAAATCAGCCCAAGCTGAACGTTTGACCTGGAAAATTCAGTTTAAAAAAAAAAATCCATGGAAATATAAAGAGCAAAAAGGGAATTTAGAAAGAAGATTTCGGCTCCTGCCCAGCGGCCACCTTGCTTCGCTATTTTTTTTTTTAAAAAAAACATAAATAAATAAGAACTTCTCTGCCAAAGACATGGGTATAAGGCAAGTCTGAGGTTGTTTTGGAATTTTGGTGTGTGTATGTGTGTGCCCAGCACTAGGCAATAATCAACACGCAACCAGTCGGCAACATTTGATTAGGAGAGAGAGAGGGAGGGAGGGAGGGAGAGAGGGAGGAGAGAGGGGAGAGAGAGAGGAGACAGGGAGGGAGGGAACAAGAGAAGGAGAGAGGGAGGGGAGAGAGAGGGGGGGGGAGACTGAGAGAGGAGAGAGAAGGAGGGAGAGTGAGAGGAGGGAGAGTGAGGGAGGGGGAGAGAGAGGGGGGAGGGAAAGAGGAGAGAGGGAGGGAGGGAGAAAGAGAAGGAGGGAGGGAGGAGAAATAGAGAGGGAAGGGGGGAGGAGAGAGAGGGAGGAAGCAAGAGAGGGAGAGAGAGGGGGAGGGAGAGAGGAAGGGAGGGAGCAAGAGAGGGAGGGAGCAAGAGGGGGAAAGAGAGGAGAGAGGGAGAAAGAGAAGGAGAGAGGGAGGGAGAGGAGAAACAGAGAGAGGAAGAGGGAGGGAGCAAGAGAGGGAGAGAGAAAGAGAGGGAGGAGAGAGAGGGAGCAAGAGAAGGGAGAGAGAGAGGAGAGAGGGAGAAAGAGAAGGAGAGAGGGAGGGAGGGAGAGGAGAAACAGAGAGGGAGGAAGAGGGAGGGAGCAAGAGAGGGAAAGAGAGAAGGAGGGAGGAGAGGGAGGGAGCAAGAGAGGGAGGAGAGAGAGGGAGGGAGCAAGAGAGGGGGAGAGAGAGGAGAGAGGGAGAGGAGAAACAGGGAGGGAGGAAGAGGGAGAGAGGGAGGGAGCAAGAGAGGGAGAGAGAGGGAGGGAGGAGAGAGAGGGAGGGAGCAAGAGGAGAGAGGGAGGGAGGAGAGAGAGGGAGGGAGAGCGCGAGCGCGCGAGAGAGGGCAGTTCCCTGCGTGTGAAGGGCAAACTACCCTGCAAATTAAGGCTAAGAACAATAGCCCAGAGCAAAACAGCCTCTGAGATTATATCGATGCAATCAATGGCTGATGCATTGGGATCTATTATTGCATTGAGAGAGAGAGAGAGAGTGAGTGTGTGTGTGAAAGGAAGAGGAGAGAAAAGAAGAAGAAAGGCAGGAAGGGAGGGAGGGAGAGAAGGAGGAAGGAGAGAGGACAGAAACGAAGAGAAGGAAGGATGGAAAGAATGAAGAAGAGATTTAAGGTTTAGTCTCCCGGTCAATGCAAAACATGGAAGGGAACAAACGACGAGGAGAAAGAGAGAAAACCCAGAATAATTTTCAGGCTATATATATCAACACACAACTTCTCTGGCACAACAGGGGAACACAGAATAACAAAGAGTTGGAAGGGACCTCGGAGGTCTTCTAGTCCAACCCCCCTACTCAAATTTGGGACCTTACACCATTTCAGACCAACAGCTGTCCGATCACTGATAAGATTCTCGGGAAGACTCATTCCAACGATTGTGCGAATCTCAGGATCGCACCATATTGCGTGCAGAATACGGGACGTGGGGTCCTTGGCGCTCTGTGAGCTTGCTTGTTTTCTTGAAGACCTCTCACGACCCAACTAGGTAACGTCATCAATGCTAGTAAGGAGTTCTGTTTGTCGTCAGCTTTATATTCTGGTGCCTTGCCTGTCTGTGTGGGTAGGGAGTGGTCTTACGAGATTCTTAGTAGGGCTTTCGGCCCCCCCTTCCTAAGCGGTGTTCTTTTTTATACAAAGTCAGCTTATTGCCCCCACAATCGGGGTCCTCATTTTACCTACCTCGGAAGGATGGAAGGCTGAGTCAACCTTGAGCCTGGTGAGATTTGAACTCGCAGTAATTGCAGGCAGCTGGTGCTATTTAACAGCACTTTAGTCTGCTGGGCCACCAAGGCTCTAGTCTCCCATTGATGGGAGATTTCTAAATTTCTCATTTCTAAAGATCTAAGTGCCCGAGCCCACTGTAACAACATTAAGAGTTGTTAACCTAATCTTGCGTAGCTTCTTCTCTGGTAATGTTATACTACTAACTAGAGCATACAAAACATTTGCTAGACCAATTCTTGAATACAGCTCATCTGTCTGGAACCCGCACTGCATATCGGACATAAATACAATCGAGAGAGTCCAGAGGTATTTTATGAGAAGAGTCCTCCGTTCCTCTAACCGCAATAAAAATACGCCACCAGACTCCAAATTTTGGGCTTAGACAATTTAGAACTACGCCGACTTCAGTCTGACCCAAGCGTAGTACGTAAAATTATCTGCTACAACGTCCTACCTGTCAATGACTACTTCAGCTTCAACCACAACAATACACGAGCAAATAATAAATACAAACTCAAGGTAAACCACTCCAAACTCGATGGCAGAAAATACGACTTCAGTAACAGAGTGGTCAATGCCTGGAATGCACTACCTGACTCTGGGGTTCCTTCCCCAAAACCCCCAAAACTTTAACCTTAAACTGTCTACTGTTGACCTCACCCCATTCCTAAGAGGTCTGTAAGGGGCGTGCATAAGTGCGCCAGCGTGCCTACCATCCCTGTCCTAATGTTCCTTTTTACTTACTCTTTTCATGTATTCAAATGATGTTTATACTTTTACCTGTTATCTTATACATGCTTGACAAATAAGACTTATGATTATGATTTGTCAGGGTTTCTAGAAATCCCCTGGCGTTTTGGGACTTGGCTCGGTCTAGGATGGTCACATTTTCCCAATTGAAACGATGATTAAATCTGTTGTGACATTAAAGAATTTTCACCCTGTCTTCTATGACTATGGCAGACTATCCCAACTTTTTCTATCGGGGACGACTCTCACCCTAGTCACTTCTTTACCCTCCTACCATCGGGAAGGAGATGACAGAAGTATATATATATCGCCAGTCGCACAAACAGGCTGAAGAAGAGTTTTTAATCCGTGGGCTGTCAAGACTCCTGAATGCAAAATAACGTAACAACTACGTAGTACGATGGACTGCAGGGCCGGCGCGACGTGTAACATGTTCACACGGGTGCAATAGAACTGGGTGTTTTGTTAATACGATTTATTGGGGTAAGGGTTTTCTGTCTTCACTGTGAGTTGTATTGTGTTGTGGGGTGTGTATGTGCACTGAGGGAGCTCAACCTCAATCTCATTGTACGTCTGTTGGGCACTGACAATAAAGATTTGAATTGAATTGATACCCCGCACCCAGTGGTGGGATTCAGCCAGTTCGCACCTATTCGGGAGAACCGGTTGTTAACTTTCCAAGCGCTTTGGAGAAACGGTTGTTAGAAGAAATCTTATTTTGTTTTTTTTTCCCCACTTTACAGGGCTAATCCTGTAAGGAAGGCAGGAAGGAAACATTCTGGTGGTATTTGTAGCCTAATCGTTATCGCCCTGCTTACAGAAACTGCCTCTCTGCTTAACCCTTATTACATTGTAACAGCTAAGGCGAAGCGCCCATCGATGTGAGTGACGTTGAGTTGGCCACGCCCACACGGTCACATGACCACCGAGCCACGCATTCCCAGCTGGTCATTAGGGCAGAGAACCAGTTGTTAAATTATTTGAATCCCACCACTGCCCGCACCCCTAGAACGCTTCTGATATATTCTCACGCCCCTTACAAACGTAAATAATTATATGCATATGTTGATGCATACATGCTGTAATTTTGAAATTTCTAAACCCCAAGTTTTCGCACCCCCGCCTGGAATATCGTCTCGCACCCACCCACCCACCCCCGGTTCGGAATCCCTGGACTATGGGATTTGTAGTCAGTAGGTGGTGGTGGGGGATAGCTGACCACACATATTGTCTATGCACACACAATGCCCAATGATGGAACAGGGGCGATTTGATTGGATGGTGGGTATCCATCTCACAACTCTTTTGAGTTGTCCTTCCGTGGATAAGACGTAGATTTTGAAAAAAAACCTGATATTGCTCTATCCATCTAAAAGAAGAGCCCTTGGGTTTGTTTTAACCAACTTGTCATTCTTGATCCTTGCTCTGGAGATTGAACAAGGGAGGATGCCAGGCAAAATAATATCCCACCCCTCTCCTCTCCCCCCCAAAAAACCCCCCATTTCTTACTTACCTGGAAGACAAGGTGACAAAGTCGCCTCCGTCCAACAGACGGATTTTGCAAAACAGCACGCCATTCACGAAAGGCACCGCCGTCAGCTCTTCCAAGGTGAAACTGATCTGAAACTTGAATTTCTTCTTCTTCATCAAGAAAGCCATGGGCACTTTCCAACCAGGGGAAACGGAGAGTTTTCTTCTTCTTCTTCTTTTTTTTAAAAAAAATAATAATATATGCCAGAAACTTTAAAAAAAAAAGAGAAAGAAAAAGCAACCGACGAGGCTCGGAGCTGGGTTTTTATTTTATTTTTTTTTGCAAAGAGGATGATGAAATCTCCCTCTCCCCAGCCTTTTGCCAACTCAAAAAAAAAAAAAAAGGACTTTTATCTCAGATGAAACGGCAGCCTAGCTTTAAACGACGGTTTCTCTTCTTTCTTTGGTGGTCTGATCTGGGCTATCGGGTCAGGAATCGCCAAGCGTCGCCGGGAAGGAGGAAGAGAGACGATTTCAGGTAGGGAAAAAAGCCAGGCGAGTCTTTGGTTCATCTCCAAAAAAAAAATGTAGAAAGAGGGGTGGGTAGGGGAGAAAAACTCAAAAATCCCGGACCTGCGGGAGCTGGGCTGTTCAGAGGTGACGAGAACCAGTTCCTCCGGAGACCTCACTGGGAGGCATTGCTGGTTTCCTTGTCAGCAAAGTGCCAGCCTCTTCGATTTTAATGTCTCCTCCTCTTTTTATTTATTTCAGCCTAGGGAAAAGGAATGAGGTGGTGGTGAGTCTCGGTTCCCTCCTCCCTCCGTCCTCAGTCCATCCCCCCTCCAACCCGGCTTGGACTGCCCACCTCGTTATGCGGCCCCTTCCAACTTTCTTCCCCTCTGAAGAAGGAAGGGGGGGGGGGAATGGTCCTTCTTTCTTAATTTTTTTTTTTTTTTTTGCGGTGCCTTTAAAAAGCAACTGCTGTCTCCAGAACCTGCTCCTTTTCTTCCGGGTGTGCCACGTATGGGGAGCTAAAGGCATGGTTTTGTAAACAGCTCCACCAAAGCGTGGAATTCATTGTACACACAAACACACAAATCTTTTCTCTTATTTCTTTTACACTAACTCACATTTATCGGTCACAATCTCTCTCTCTCTCTCTCATCCATCTAATCATCCATCAATCTACCAACCATTCTACCTACTGGTATCTGTCTGTCTGTCTGTCTACATCTACCTACATCCATCCATTATCTATCTATCTATCTATCTATCTATCTATCTATCTATCTATCTATCTATCTATCTATCTATCTATCATCTATCTACTGTATCTACCTACCTACTGTATCTACCTATCCATCTACCTACCTACCTATCCCTCAATCTATTATCCATCAATCTACCAACCTACCTACCAACCTACTGGTACCTACCTACTTACTGGTATCTGTTTGTCTGCTAATCTAATCTAATCTAATCTAATCTAATCTACCTACACCTTGTTGCCCCCAAAATAAGACATCCCCTGATAATAAGCCCAATTGGGCTTTTGAGCGCATGGCAATAAGGCCAAACGTTTATTTCGGGGTTCAAAAAATATAAGACAGGGTCTTATTTTTGGGGAAACACGCTATCTATCTATCTATCTGTCTATCTATCTATCTATCTATCATCCATCAATATCTATCTATCTATCTATCTATCTATCTATCTATCTATCTATCTATCTATCTATCTATCTATCTACCTATCTATCTATCTACCTATCTATCATCCATCAATATCTATCTATCTATCTATCTATCTATCTATCTATCTGTCTGTCTGTCTGTCTGTCTATCTATCTATCTATCTATCTATCTATCTATCTATCATCCATCAATATCTATCTATCTATCTATCATCTACCTATCTATCATCCATCAATATCTATCTATCTATCTATCTATCTATCTATCATCCATCTATCTTCTAATCTTATATCTATTTATCCATCTATTTGTCCATCTGCCCATCAATCCATCCATCTTTCTATCTCCCATCTCTCTCCTTCACCTATGTTAAGGTGCCATTCACCTGTCTATTCATCTATCTGTCCATCCATTTACAGTATCTACCTCAAACTTGAGATATACTCACAAAAAACATGTATCGGTTTATCTCACACACAAAACCCACGTCTCTCTGTGTGTCTGTAAATAAATATATTTCTACTTTAATGCTGTATTCTTTCCTTCTGTATTTTTCCTCTCTACTTTTTAACCAGCTGCTGTACCTTCAAAACTCACTTTTTCCCTAGGGAGACAAATGCAAAACGCCTGCAGGCGTTTACAAAAGTTAAACCTTATTCCCAGCTTTGCAAGGCCTTATGTTGGGTAATCTAAGCTTCTGGGTCTGAATCCCCCCCAGATCATTGTGTAGCGCAGGAGGAGGAGGGTTAGTGACAGATTGTGAACGCTCAGTTCACTGCAAAAACGCATTCTGATGAAACATTATTGATCGGAAGAACTTTACTCTCTTCTGCAAACTCGGGGAATGCTGTTTTTCTGCCTGCCCGCACTTTCTCCCTGGCCTGGAGGAAAGGTCTAAAGTTCAAGCATTAAGAAGTTCAAGGTGATCTTCAGAAGAATGCTCGGCTCTCTAACTTTGCTGCTCAGACCTGAGACAACCTGTCTCACCAGGTAGTGCTGGCCTCCCACTGGCACCAGTTTCCCACGGAAAACAAGAGCCTCCTTCTGCAGTCGTTCTTCACCGTTCTCGGACGTTGAGGTTCCTCAACCACTCACTCAACCAAACTCATTCTTAACTTGCCCCTCAACTCCCCAAGTTCTCATCCAACTCAACATCCCTGTCGCAACCTCCATTCCAAAACCAAAAAGATGGGTGATTCTTCTAGGTTTCAAGGACCACCTACCCCATTTCCTGTCTGACAAGTCTCATCCGGGGTCAATTCTCAAGGGGGACGCACAACGGTGCTCATGGTACATCCACAATGCTAAATATTGACCCTAATGTGACTTTAAGGGGTTCCAAGTCTTATGGCAGTCAACCTCAAACCTTCTCAAGAATGATCTCAGGGGAGTTCTGGGAGTTGAGGTCCACCTGAAACTTGGCAAGGTTGAGACTTGCCAACACTTGAGACCCTAGCCACATTTGCAAACTATACAGGATGCAAACAGGTCGATCGATACAGAAACGACAGTTTGCTCAACATGCTTCTCGTAGGGACGGGGGTGAACCCAGAATGATGGTTTACTATCCAGTTAAGGAGACCATGATGTAAACACAAATGTGGGAACTCAGTCTCTTTTTTAAATTAGTGGTGTTAAAGTAAACAACCGCTAGTCTGAAGAGAAGAGCCTGAAGCCCAGCCGTCGGTGGAGGAATAAGCTTCTCCTTCTCTTGAGTCCTTCTCCTAGAGCAGTGTTTCCCAAAGTGTGGTACGTGTACCCCCAGGGGTACGGGAAGAGTTTGGTGGGGGTACGCGTTGCACCGGAGTTTGGTGGGGATCACGTGGGAATATCCACTGCACCGTGCTTAGCTGCGCCCACAGAACAAGGAAAGAAATAAGCGCATATCGCAGTTTTTACATGGGAACTGGGGCCATCGTACATCGTATCGCAACTCATTATGGCGGGAACTTCTGCGCATCCTTCGCGCAGCTCGGGTTCGGCCATTTTTAAACTGCGGAAACATTAACAGTTGATGTTGTGCCACGGAGCTGTTTAAACGCCGGAGAATTGCAGTGTTATCTAAGTGTTTCCCAAAGTGTGGTATGCATACCTCCAGGGGTACCATATGTTTTTTATGAGGGGTACTCAGCGCTACGAAAATTATAGAAGGGATGCACATATGTCAAAAGTTTGGGAAACACTGTCCTAGAGCCATGATGGCGAACCTGTGGCATGCGAGCCCTTCTCTGTGGGCATGCGTGCTGTCGCCAGCTACTCTTCTGCTCTTCTCAGCTGCTCTTCGCGGCTGGAGCGCCAAAAAAACTGCCCCAAAACAAGCCATTTTCCAGGCTGTTTCCAAGTCCAAAAAAGGTCTGAAAACGGCCCTAAAAATGGTCTGAAAACAGCCAAAAAAGAGGCATGTGCGCTGACCAGCTGGTGTTTGGGTTTCCGGTGCACGCATGTGTTCCAGTTTGGGCACTCGGTGCCGAAAAGATTCACCATCACTGTCCTAGGAGGCCTTTATACAAATAACGGGAGCCTCTCAATTCAGACAATCCAGAGGGAGAATCAGGTCAGGCATGACTTAACCCTGAAAGGCATCCTAGTTATTCATTCTTGCTTTCTTAAATTGGTTGGATTAAGGTGGGGTTTCTTTTTCCCCCCTCAAGGGAAAACAAGAAGGCCATATAAGTCTCAAGACAGCTCGCTCTTCATGCCTTTTCGTTTGCAGACCCTGCGCAAGAGGGATATAAAAACCCCGAACATTCAGAACCAACTACTGGCTAAGACGTTGAGCTTGTCGATCAGAAAGGTTGGCAGCTCGAATCCCTACTGCCAACTTTTCTCCTGCGTGAGCAGGGGGTTGGGCTAGATGACCTCCAAGGTCCCTTCCAACTCCGTTACTGTTACTTAAAACTCCTAATTTATAACCAGGTCCGTCTATGTGCCGTTGGGCTCTGCTCCATTTTTTTTTTAACTACAACGATTAAGACAGGTATCAACAGAGAGGCCAATTTCGGTTGCCTTGCAATCCGTAGCTGGTTCACTGGGGATTAAATCCGTGGTTTATTCCTGGATTAAGGTATTGCAAACTTTATACTGTAATCTTAAATGTTGCTAAGAAATAAGCGTGGGATCGAACCTTCCAGGGATTGCACAATTCCCCTGTAACAACAAACACCAGAACTAAGTAACAACTTAAAAGTCTGACATTTACACAAATTCTTAAACCATCCGAAGCCAAGTAGCTTGAACCCGGCTGAACTTTCGTGCAAAGAGATAGGAAAAGTTTAAATGTAGAGACACCTGCATGCAGGTAAACTTAGCTGTGAGACAGAGGAGAAAGATACATTTGTAGGAGCCAGGTGGGAGGTCGAATTGTGGCTTGTTTTTAACTAGGGTTTTGTTGACTATGGCCAGAGCAAGCCATCATTGGCTAGGATAACTTCTGGCTTGGCACAGAGACACCTGTATGCAGGTGTACCTGCCTATGAGACAAGAGGAGGTTATGGGATGCAGGTTGGAGGCTAAATCGTGGCTGGTTTAAACTGTGGTTTGATGAGCCCGATGACTCACCGCAGCAAAAAGCCAGAATGGGCAAAAGGATACACGTGAGTTAGACGCACCTACGTGTCTTGCACACGAGCCTTTTTCCTGCAAGAAGGCTTGTTCTGGGGTAAAACGGTTCTCGTGCTCGGAAAATGAGTCCCCCTCCCTTGGGTGTGCGTATGCATGCACCATTATTGGGGGGGGGTGCAAGACGGATGCACCCCACCCGAAACGTTGCCCCAGTTCGGCTAAGGTCCCCCATAGGGGCGCCTTTTGCACGCATGCAGGCACGTGCATTTTGCATGCTTCGCGTCCCCAGGCGTAGGGTGCAAGCGACCCCTCCCCAGCCTTTCCCCCCCCCTCCCGAGGGCTCGCAAAGGAGCCTCTCCAAGCCCTTCCTTGGACTGCCCCCTTGCAGCTTGCAATGGCTCCCCCCCCAGACCCATTTTAGAGCTCAGCTGCCTTGCTTGCACCCCCTCCCCAAATCCACCCCCTAAGGGGAGAGGTGCATTGCTCCCCCATAACCACCTCATCCTCTCCCAATGCACCCCATGATGAGGAGTGGGATAGCAATCAGCCGTGGGGAAGGGTCTCTCCTACCTCCGCGCCCGTTCCAGACTTCTGTGCTAATAGCTGGGCTTGCCAGCGCTCTACGCCAACTGCGCCCGCTACGCCGCTGGCGTAAGTGGGAAGAAAGGGGCGGGGAGAAAGCCCGCCGCGGTTCCAAAGCCGCAGATGCTGGAAGCCGATTGGATAAGCCTCGAAGTGAAGGGCCGAAGAAGAAAAAAAAGGGGGTGGGAAGGCATCCGCGTCTCCATTGGCTCCGCGTGACCACGACGGCGGAAGGGAGAGCGGCTATTGGAGGACGCGTGATGTCAGTCATGCGAAAGGGAAAAAAAAAAAAAGCCCGCCCTCTGCATTGAATTTAAACGATGGCATAGAACGCTGCTTCTGCAACCGGGCGCCCTCAGGAAGGTGGAGGGACTCCCACGCCAATCATCCCCAGCCATTGTGGGATTAGAGTTAGCATATCTTTAGGCCGTAAGGGGATGGGGATTCAAAGGTTGGAAGGCCGAGCGGGGCTTTAGGTGCTTGGGGCGATGGGGATTGTAGTCCCGACGAATCGAGAGGGTAGCTGGGCTTTTGGGTAAGGGTTAACGGTAACAGAGACGGAAGGGGCCTTGGAGGTCATCTAGCCCAACCCCCTGCTGATGCAGGATGCCTGTACTAGGGATTCGAACCGTCCGAACTGCCGACCTTTCTCATCGACAAGCTCAAGTGTCTTAGCCACTGAGCCACCAAGTCAGGGGATGATGGGCTTTAGGATGAAGCCCATCTGCCAGGCAGCAGGTTTGGAAGGAAGGAAGGAGGGAAGGCGAATTACGGCGGGCGAGCCGGCTATTAGGAACCGACCGCATGGTAAATTTGGAGCAAGATTTAAAAATAAAATAATAATATTATTCCAAATCAAATAAATTATCCCGTATCCTGTTTTTCCAGAGTGGCTAAGCAGATGTTCTTCAGAAGCCCACCCAGCTGTTTCCTCTCCCCATCACCTTTCCTCCGAAATAGGATGGCAGGATGCGTTTCCGTCATCCTGCACCACGGGGTGGTCCGTGGTTGAGTCCCTGTTGATCGAACGCAGGCAGTCCTCGACTTACGACCACAACGGAGGCCCCCCCTCCAAAATTTACGTTGCTAAGCGAGACATTTATTTTACCCCACCCCCAAATTCACGACTTTTCTCGCCGCGCCTGTTTAAGCGAATGGCGGCCGTTCTTAAATTAGTCACACGGTTTGTTAAGTGAACACTGGTTTTCCCACTTGACTTGGCTTTTTGTCGGATTATAAAAGACGATCTCTGGGACAATGCAACCGTCATAAATGTGAGTCGGTCTCAAAGCATCTGAATGGTAAATCACCTGACCACGGGGATGCTGCGACGGTCGTTAAGTGAGAAAAATGGCCGTAAGTCGCCCTTTTTCCAGTGCCGTCGTAACTTCGGTCACTAAATGGAATGTTGTAAATCGAGGGCTACCTGTATAATCATAACTGGCTTTATTTGCCCAAACCAAGGAGCCCCCTAAACCCTGGTTTACAACCGTGGATGTCTGAATTCACACGACAAAATGAGCCAAAATCCAAACCTGGCTAGGTGGCTCAGTGGCTAAGACACTGAGCTTGTTGATCAGGAAGGTTGGCAGTTCGGCAGTTCGAATCCCTAGTATAGGTCTCCTGTGTGAGCAGGGGGTTGGACTAGATGACCTCCAAGGTCCCTTCCAACTCTGTTACTGTTGACTTGGGGCATGGTGAGAACATCTTCTTAACATCAGAGGAACCATGAAGGATCTAATAAAACCCCTTTATTACTAATAAATATAAATATAAATATCTAATAAAACCTCTTCTATTAAACGGGGGGGGGGAGGAGGAAACCCCACATTTTCCTAACTAATTATAACGCCAGGAATGGAAAAATCTCTCTTGTGATTCGGTCTTCTAAACTTCCCCTTTGGACTTGCCACGTGATTATACCGACGGATTATACATGTTTCAAAGTTTAGCAAATCCGGCTAATTCTCATGCCTATTGATTCCACGGCTTTGATCGGAAAGCTTTCGTTTCTTCGGAGGCTTCGTTTTATAATTAATGGGACTACGAAACCGATGTTGTTGATCAACAGATTTGTAAAAAAAAAAAGGCCCAAAGATCCCACGGATTCCCAGGATATACACATCAAATGTCTCAAAAAGTTCTCAGAAACTGACATCTCCAATGCATCTGGGCGCGTGCTAAATTAGCACATTTTTAAAATAAGCATTGTTCACTATATTAAACCTAGTCGGGCGATAAAAGTCTAGCTTTTATTTGGAGTCCAAGATTAATGTGGAAAAGGGGCCATTACTGAGCTCCGACCCGTTAAGGCAGGGGGGGGGGTCCAAACTCAAGGCCCCTGGGCCAAATCCGGCCTGCGGGAGTGGGCTGGAAATAGCGAAGGACCAGCCCGCGGCCCGTTTTCGGCCGGCCAGAGTGCTGCGGGAGGCCAGGGAGGCCGAAAACGGGCCGTGCGCGGGCTCGTTTTGGCCGGCAGGGTGCCGCAGGAGGCATCCATCCAGTCTCTCTCTCCCCCCCCAAAGAAATCCAGTTTGACACCCTGCGTTAAGGCATGGTTTGCTTAGCCACGATTGGGAGGCTTACCCGTTATGCTAAGTCACAAACAATAGTCTTAATCCTGATTCATAGCTGATTAAGATCCCGAGTAGGGTTCCTTCAACACAATGGCTTCGTTGATGAGCCGTGTTTGCCAGGAACAGCCCTCGCGGGTGAATCACCCACAAAGATACCGCTGTTTGGCTGAGACCCTGATCAACAAGTAGGTGACATCGTGACTGCCTAATCCCAGTCACAATGTTTTTGAATAACTTGGGTGACTTGTCTTGGTTAAAGAATGCATGAAGTGCGTGAACTTAGGCAAGGACAGTGGACAGGTTCCTACAGGACGCAAAGCAAGACTGAGAGTGCCCCCCCCCTTATCCCAATTTGTCAATTCAATGGCATTTTGACAGGATTCCTCAAAAGACCCTTGTCATGGCTTGGCTTCCTCAGTTTACCAATCCTTTGTTGGGGTTCGTGGTCATGGCTGCTTTCTCCAGCCCATCGTGGTTTAATCATCTGCCAGCTTCTCACAACGGGAAAATTCGACCGTTTGAACCGGTGATGAAATCCAATTTTTTTTAACTACTGGTTCTGTGGGCGTGGCAGGGGAAGGATCCTGCAAAATCCCCATTCCCTCCCCACTCCTGGGGGAAGGATATTGCAAAATCTCCATTCCCACCCCAATTCGGGGACCAGCCAGAGATGGTACTTGCCGGTTCTCCAGACTACTCAAAATTTCCGCTACCGGTTCTCCAGAACCTGCTGGATTTCACTCCTGGTTTGAACCCAATCAGCTGCCCATCATGACTGCTCAAATAACTGGATTGTTGTACCCCCCCTTTGTCTTCTCAGGTGTGATGGTTAAAAACCCAGATGCTTTGAAAGTATGGGTGATGCCTTCTCCAAGCTTGGCTCATGGACGTTGACCTGACTCAAGAATCCCTGCCTGCCAGGAAAACCATTTTGTCCCAAGGAGCTTTCAGCTGGTAAGATGCCAACTGGACATTTTGGGGCCATTAACCAAGATAGGCTTTGGCTGATGGCCAAGAAATGTAATAGCACTTAATTGGCCTTCATGGCCCCTATTGTTTCCTGGCCTTTCTAATCTTACCAGTTAAAACGTCCCTGTAGCAGGAAGAGTGGAGAAAGTGCTGGAAAGATTACGTATTCCAGGAATGTGTGTGGTTTTTTTTTGTTTTAATTTTTAATTTTTGCTTTCTTGCACTAGAAGCATTTGCTGCTATTTTCTGGGACGCCAGAAAGCTTCCATTCCCAGATGGCTGAAAAAGCTGGGGGGGAAAAATATGCTTTATAATACCCCACAAAGCACATGACAGGAGAAAAAAAAAAGGGAGGTTTTTCTAAGGATTACATTAATAGTACAGGTTAATATTTTGTTATGCAAACTATTTGCTCAGGTTGGGGTTTAAAAAGGTAATTAATCCCGATGACATTGGCGGTGTCCTAGTTACGAGTATTTCTAAGTCTCAAGCCTAGCAAATTTCTATTTATTTAATCAGCCACTGTTAAGCCGAGATTGATGCTAGCTTTGAACCCAGTTTGTTATTCTGGGCAGTTCTGTTGATTCTGAGTAACTCTCCCTGCCATGCCGGTTATGGTATTCTCTCTGCTCTTCTGTTTGGACTTTAAAGTCGTGAATAGATGAAAATAAATTGTATTTTGAGCGTACGGAGAACTTGGAGAGGTTGACCAAGTGGTGAATCCCGAGAGGTCTATTTCTGCATTTTGAACAATGGGTTAAAAGAGGCCAGTTCTTTTAGAGAGTTCTTCCCAGTTATGCAGAAAAACCAGAATTTCTTTTGTTTAAAGAAAACCTTACGTTGTCTTGAGGAAAATACCACCAAAGCAGGAGAGGTGATGATCGCACTTTCAGCTGGTTTACATAAGCCCAAACTGGTTTGTTCAGTTTCCGTCGCGTAGCAGTATTGGTTCAGGTGTCCAACTAAGAATGGGGAGGATAGGTTAACATCCTCGCGCATCCTGAATTGTAACACTTAGGCCAAAAACTGTGGTTTGTAAACCATATAAAGGCTGGAATTCACACGCCACGCTAATTATACTGTGGTTAGCATTTTGTGCGTAAATTTAAAACCTGTGAGAATAAAAACTGGCTGAGGCAGGACAATGCCCACCTGAAAACCTTGTGGGGAAGGGTGACATTTTCCATTGATGGCTGGGGGATTCTGGGAGTTGAAGCCCACACCTCTTCAAGTTGCTGAGGTTGGGAAAAACTTGTTTTAGATTTCCTTTTTTCATAAGGAACTTGGCTCTCTGAAAGAAGGAGATTAGGCATAAGGGGTGAAGTACTACAAGGACAGGCTATAGCCGTGATGGCGAACCTATCGCACGCAGAGCCATCTCTGTGGGCACGCGAGCCCTCGCCCATTGCTCTTCCGGGTTCCAGCGCTCTGGCCAGCTGGTCTTCACACACGGAGTGCAGGAAACCGGAAGAGCAGCGGCCTAGTACGCATGTGCGCGCTGGGAAGATCATGTTCCCGTTTCCTGTGCGCGAGTTTCTGGCACACATATGCGCGCGTGAAGACCAGCGGGTCAGAAACCAGAAGATCATTTTCCCGGTGCATGCATGAGCACAAGATGGCTGCTCTTCCGGTTTCCGGTGTGTACATGTGCACCTGGTCTTCACGCGTGCATGCATGCCAGAAACTAGAAGACGTGGCTGGTGCGCATGCCAGAAACCGGAAGATCACCTTCCCAGCGTGCACAGGTACACCGGGTGGCTGATCTTCCGCTGCCGAAAAGGTTTGCCAACACTGGGCTATAGAGTAGCTTCTGAAAGCTTATTTTTCCCAACTCTGTAATGGTATAATTCTTATAATCTAATTGTACTCTACCCTCTTACTATGCCGCAAAGCTAGAAGAGAAAAGCCAAAATTCTGACACTGCAGATTTCATATTCCTATACAGAACATGGCGGAAGAGAATTGGGATGGCATAAATGTTCAGGCAAGGCAGAGAATCTGCTCTTCGCGGCATTGTTTCAACTAATTATTTCAGAAGTTTGCCAATCCAAAAATAAAAATAAAAATGTCCAATAAATAAATCTATCTTTCGGTTCCTTCTTTCCCTCGTTCGGACGACGTGAGGATACAAAGAACCAGAAGTACGAATTGCAGCTTCTTGCTCATCCGTCGTTCTGACACTGCAGTGTTCATCTGTCACAGCTTACGTGGCTGATGGCTGAACGAAGTTCTCAATTAAAGGCCTTTTAAGATTTATTTTTCCTTTGGGGAGCCCCAGGGTTTTTCTACTTAACACCAGTTTTTAAAAGGTAAAAATGTGAGGGTATTATGCCCCCTGCAGGTTATAGAAACACCAGAACCTCTGGACTGTTTTATCTTGCAAATCCAAGTTATTGGAAAACGGTCTTTCCCTATTGGTCTATTTTTTTTAAAAAGCTTCAGATACTGGGAAATCTCTGTAGGTTAAACATTGAACAGCGTTCTGTAAGCTTTTTTTTATAGACCTGTTATACGGAGAGCCAAACGCATTGAGCGTCCATCCACAAATGCAAAGTTATGGCTGGGTGCGTTGCGTTGAGCCAAGAATATGATTTTCTCGTGGCTTCGTGTCGTGTGAACTTTAGGCACTGCGTCTCGCTCAATAAGCTAAGGTTCGCTGTATCATTGCTTGCAATACCAGTGTGTGTGTGATTGTCACCTTGGAGCAGTGGTGAAATACACATTTTTTTTACTACCGGTTCTGTGGGCATGGCTTGGTGGGCGTGGCAGGGAAAGGATACTGCAAAATCCCCATTCCCACCCCACTCCATTCCCACCCTACTTTGGGGCCAGCCCGAAGTGATATTTGTCGGTTCTCCAAACTGCTCAAACTTTCTGCTACCGGTTTTCCAGAACCTGCTGGATTTCACCCCTGGTTTGGAAGCTGTCCTGACAGCAGATCAGGTGGTGTGTTAGTACTGGCACGATAGCATCATCAGAGTGGTGTGTGTTTAGATACCCCATCCTGCGATCAACACATCCCAGCCACAAAATCCAAGGATCTCTGTACAGCGTCTACAATCAATTATTCGCATTGATTTGGCTACTTGTGGTCCAGCCTCTTTCAACCTGGTCTCCTTTCTCTGAGCTTGGACTTCAGTTCCAAGAATTCTTTTAAGTGCGATGGCGGAGACCATCACCTCTCTTTCTCCTAGCCTGAAATCCTGAAAACAGCAACTCTTTGACCAATTTAAAAAAAAAGAGAGAGAGAGAAAGGCTGAGTTCTGTTTGTATAAAAATCTATTTTGCCAATCTTTTCCTTTAAAATTGAACATTTAAAGTTATGGTTTATTCCTAGCAGAGTCAAGGAACTGAGTAAATGATTTTTTTAAAAAAGGACAAGAGTTGAGCCGGGTAAGTTAAGTAATCCAGAGCGGGGGGTTTTGGCTTCTAAACCCATTGGCTGGCATAAAACAGGACGCCTGTCGCCTCTTCCTAGGCCGAGCTTGGGTTTAGAGGATTCCCCTCCCCACCCCCGAAATTTCATTGAATGAGGCTGTCCTGTCCGTTCTGGGTTGCTTGGCTCGGATCGGTGGTCCCCGAAGGGGTGACGGGAGTGTTGCTCTGTAAAAACCGCCGGAAGTCCTTAATCACGGGGTGCATGATCTGGATGAGGGCGTTGAGCGCGGCCTGCATCCCTTCCATGGCCTGGGCCTGGCGTTCCTGCGCACAGGCCTGCACCTCCTGAGAGTGGCGGATTTTCTGCAGCAGGTCGTTCTGCTGCTCGAGGTGCTGGGCGATCTCTTTGACATGCAGGTTGGTCACTCGCTGTTCCTGCAGGAGCTTGGCGGAGTTCAGCGCGATCCTGGTTTTCAGTTCCTGGGGTTTGGCGGACACTTCGGCTTGCTGGGTAATCATCTCTAAGGGGGCTTCGGCGGTGACGGTGGCGGGGGCTTCGGTGGTGCAGTACTCGACCACGCCCTCTTCCAGGCTGTGGTACGTCATCTCTGCCGGAACTAAGAAGAGGAGGAGAGCTTTTTTTGAGAACTGGCATGTTTGCATGTGGCCTTTCAACCAAGGGCTCCCAGAATTAAATCCGGGAATTTAAAGCATCCTAAGAATCAAGTTTATAATTAAATCCAGGAATTAAAGCATCCTAAGAATCGAGTTCAGAATTAAATCCAGGAATTAAAAGCATCCTAAGAATCGAGTTCAGAATTAAATCCTGGAATTAAAGCATCCTAAGAATCGAGATTAAAATTAAATCCAGGAATTAAAGCATCCTAAACATCGAGTTTAGAATTAAAGTATCCTAAAAATCGAGTTCAGAATTAAATCCGGGAACTAAAGCATCCTAAGAATCGAGTTTAGAATTAAATCTGGGCATTAAAGTATCCTAAAAAATCGAGATTAGAATTAAATCTGGGAATTAAAGCATCCTAAGAATCGAGTTCAGAATTAAATCCGGGAATTAAAGCATCCTAAAAATCAAGTTCAGAATTAAATCTGGGAATTAAAGTATCCTAAAAATTGAGATTAAAATTAAATCCAGAAATTAAAGCATCCTAAGAATAGAATTTAGAATTAAATCCGGGAATTTAAAGCATTCTAAAAATTGAGTTTCAGCTATAATCTTAATATATAAAGGTTTGAAAACACTATAGAGTAGCTGGGTCCAGAAAAAAACATGGGGCAGCTATGTTTCCCATCTTGTAATAGTGTAATTTTAGTCAGTCAGCTTACCCTGACTAACAAAGTTTAAACTTAAACAACCAAACATCAGACTGGTGCAATGTGTGGTCTTAAAATGAGGTGGTTTCTTTTTATCAGCTTGCTACAAAAGACTGTGTTTGGTAATAATGCTATTTATAGGTGAATATTTATCAGCTTCTATGACATGTCGGAATAAGTGGGGGAGGTAAGATGAATGATCAGTGATTATAGATTGTTGGCAATCCCTGGCGCATGACATGCATTGTGTGAATCCAATCAATTGTGGCTTCTTCCCCCTCTATTATGCCGTCTGCACACGTTCGCAGCTGGGGTGAAGGAAAGAAAGGAACAGGGCTGGGGAGACAGCTTGAGGTATTACACACAGCAAACGACGTGGGAGGAGGGAAAAATATGTTTCCTGGGTGCTTCGAAACCCAGCCTGATCAGTTGCCACTGGTAACCCTCTACCCAGCAATGAATCTGCCAATGCTTCCCATTTTGCCGGCTTAAGAACCAGAATGTCGGAGTTGGAAGGGACCTTGGAGGTCTTCTAGTCCAACCCCCTGCTCAGGCAGGAAAACCCTGCATCATTCCAGACAAATGGTTATCCAATCTCTATCTATCTATCTATCTATCTATCTATCTATCTATCTATCTATCTATCTATCTATTTATTTATTTATTTATTTATTGAATTTGTATACCGCCCTTCTTCCCCCTAGGGACTCTTAAAAGCCCACGGTGTTGGAGCACCCACAGCTTCTGGAGGCAAGCTCTTCCACCGATTACAGGTAATCCTCGACTTACAACAGTTTGTTTAGTGACCGTTCAAAGTTACGACAGCACTGGAAAAAGTGACTTGGGACCGTTTTTCATAGTTACGACCTTTACGGCATCCCCATAACCACGTGATCGAAATTCAGACGCCTGGCAACTGGTTCATGCTTACGACCGTTGCTGGGCCCCAAGATCATGTGATCACTTTTTGCGACCTTCTGGCAAGCGAAGTCAACGGGGGAGTCAGATTCATTTAGCAACCGGGCTACTCACTTATCAACTGCAGTGATTCACTTAACAACCGAGGCAAGAAAGGTCTTAAAATGGGGGCAAAATTCACTTAACCAACGTCTCACTTACCAACAGAGGTTTGGGGCTCAATTATGGTTGTAAATCGAGGACTACCTTGTTGTAGCCCGCCAGCAGATCTGGCAGCAGATTCGGACAGTGAGGAGGTTGGGGAGGAACATGGGACAGTCCTGGGAAGGCTCTGACGAGGGCTCTGCGTCGGAGGCAGAGAGGAGGCCAGGGCCGGATGCCAGTTATCAGCTGCCTTCGGAATCAGACATCAGTGAGGCAGACGAACAGCTGAAGCCTGTTCCCAGTGTGCGCATATGCAGAGTTGCCAGAGGAAGGGAAGAGCTAAAGAACAAGGGTCGACTCAGGAGTAAAGCCACAGGTGGACGATGAATGGCCCCTCCCAGAGGGAATAAAAGAGGAGCGAAAGGGGAGGGGAGTTTGCAGGAGACAATTAGTTCAGTCCTGCATTCTTGGCAAGCATTGCGGCATAAAGGTCGGTAATTGCGAACTATCTTGAAAGACTGTGGGTGAGGAAAGAATTTGCTGGAGAGGAATTCATTGTAAATTAAATAAAGGGGGTTTATCGGCGTGAGGACTCAGCTTCGTGCTGCTGGGAAAGCCTTGGTCAGAACATAACTGTATACAGGTTTTTTTGGGAAGGAGAAGTTGGATGACATAATGGAGAAGACTAGCTTTGAAAGAGGAGGAGAAGCTGGCTCTAAGAAGCCAACCCTCGAGCAAAGTAACCGCTTGGGTGGCCGTGTTGAAGATATGATTCATAGATCTCATGATGCAAAGATGCAGGAGCCTCCGAGATTTTCCAAGACTTCGAACTTTGAAATGAGTCACATTAGGGATCTAGCATTATCAGTGCTCCATAAATACAGGATGGTGTTACAGTCTCACAGCTGATAAAATTGCCCAGGGTGGTGAAACTTATCTACTGATTATCACACAAAGCCTATTGACTGATAACGACATGGCCTTAATAGGGAAAGGATGTTTCCTGAGAAATTAGGGCTATTGTGTTTATCAGAGCAATTATTTTTTTCCAAGGACGGGGAGTTCCCAAATTAGATCTCGGTTTGGGGCAGGAGCAGAAGACAGCCGAAGAATCAATTCCAAGGAAGGGAGTGGGTCAAGAACATAACAGGTACAGAATGTTTTTATCGAATAACTCTGGGGCTACCGGAGAAAACAACAATCCACAGCTAAGTCACCTGGCAAGGTTAATAGAAGCAGTGAGCGGAGGTGAGCCAGGAGAGCTTGGGTTATATTTTTATTTTTTTTTAATATTCAACCCCACCCTGTTTTTGCATGCCATGCCTACATTTTTCTCCTCCTCTGACAGGCAAGGACAAAATGAGATTGCAGTGTCCCGAACAGGCTGCAAGCAGCAGGGTTGCGGAATCAATCAGAGGCAGTCAGGTGTGGCCTTAAAGGTGCAGGTGACTGCTGGTGAGAAACACATGAGGCTGATTCCCAGGCAAGCTTTCCTTCCCCCAAATTCTAGATCAGGGGCTGCAACTGGTTCAGACCAGGATGGCAAAACCAAGAACACCAAATCGGTGTTTCTCAACCTCAGCAATTTGAAGATGGGTGGATTTCAACTCTCCACATCCCCAGCCAGAATTCTGGGAGTTGAAGTCCACACATGATTGTCATCATCTTCATTTAACGACCCCATAATCCCTTGCGGGGTGGAGTCTGGGCAACTGAATGGAGCTAGCAGAGTGTTTTAATGGCCGGATGCCCTTCCTGTGGCCAATGCGGAGTTTTGTTCAGCAGATATATTCTCAAGAGTGCCTAGAGAGAGAAATCTCTGCCTCTACCTAGGATTGAACTCACAGCCTCCTGATTATGAGGTGAGAGCTCCACCACTAGGCCACCACACTAGTGGTGGGTTTCAAAATTTTTTACTACCGGTTCTGCAGGTGTTGCTTGGGCATGGTGGCTTGGTGAGCGTGGCAGGGGAAGGATACTGCAAAATCCCCATTTCTTCCTGATCAGCTGGGACTTGGGAGACAGAGAATAGATGGGGGCGGGGCCAGTCAGAATTTTTACTATCGGTTCTCCGAACTACTCAAAATTTCCGCTACCGGTTCTCCAGAACTGGTCAGAACCTGCTGAAACCCACCTGTGCATCATACCACTCCTGTTGAAGTCCACACATCCCCAGCCAGAATTCTGGGAGTTTAAGTTCACACATCCCCAGCCAGAATTCTGGGAGTTTAAGTTCACACATCCCCAACCAGAATTCTGGGAGTTTAAGTTCACACATCCCCAGCCAGAATTCTGGGAGTTTAAGTTCACACATCCCCAGCCAGAATTCTGGGAGTTGAAGTTCACACATCCCCAGCCAGAATTCTGGGAGTTGAAGTCCACCCATCTTAAACTTACTAAGTCATTCGCTAATCTGAATGGCTCTGACTAACAATGGCTGTGTGGGAAGGAAGGAACAAGCTACTTACTCTGTGTAAGAGTGACGGTGGTTGCGGCAGCTGTAATGGGTATTTCCGATGTATGGGTGCCGGTGCAGCTTCCCGCGGGCAAGCTGATGATGGTGGCTTCTCCCAGAAGGTTACAGATACGCTGCTGCATGGGGGTGAGAATCACTGGGGTAGCAGAGGTCCCTGTCGCGTCTTCTTCAACCTCCTGGACTTCCCCACCTCCTTCCTGGTCATTGCCACCATCTTCTACAGCAGCTCTGACTTGAGCGACTTTGCGCCGTACCTCTGTCTTGAGGTCCGACCACTTCTTCTTCACTTCCGGCAGCTCCCGGCGGCAGGTCGCCACCGCATTGACCCGTCGCAGGATGTTGTGCCAAGCGGCGGCCTTGACAGTCAGCGGCACGCCCGCGTTGAAGTGGTTGATGAGCAGGTGCTTGCTCCGCTCGAGTTCTTCTACGATGATCTCCACCTCCCGTTCCGAGAAGTTCATCTTCCGTTTTTTAGCTGGTGGGGCCGGAGGGGACGACATGGCCATAGGAGGATCTGAGGACGAAGACAAGCCAGGTCTGGGGGTCTTGAGACAAAGCCCAGGGACTGAGCCTGCAAAAAAAAAAAAGGGAGATCGTGTTGAAAAAAACAGATCCAATTTGGATCAAGTCACCCTATTTCGGAAGGAAGGGAGGCTTCGTTATGCAAGAATATCTCCCCAAATGGGTGGGTGGATGCAAAATTCAACCAAAGGGATGATAAACAGAGTCAGCTCTGTAGTGAAGTATTTACACATTTTATAATATTAAATATTTGTAAGTATTTATAATGCAGGACTGAAGGTAAATGGCAAAACTTGGGTAGGGACTATATTTGAGTTAACGCTGAGCAGAAGTTAGCTCTCAAGGTTAGTGTGCTACGTTTTGAAGAAAAGCTTTCCAAAATTACAGAGAACCATGGGGAAGGTGGGTGGATGGTGTTTTAGGAAAATAAATAAGTCAAATGAAGAAGGAGTCAAGAGGATGGACGCAACGTCAAATACGAGGAGTGTCTGTAATGGACTCCGAGCCTATTCAGGCGGTCCTTTTGTACAAACTTACCTAGGAGAGCACCACATTTTGTATTTCTAGACTTCGGAAGTCCAGAAATCATAGTTAGGGGTGGTTTTAAAAAGGGAGTCAGGGAAGGAAAGTCGAGGGTTTAGGATGGTCTTTTGGAATTGGGCCATCTTGAAAGCAGATGGGAAAAATAAGGGTTCTCCCAATGGGATATTTGGGGGTCTCTGAAATAGGCGGGGGGGCTACGTGGAAACTGTAACGACCCTTAGGTAGACTTTGGGAAGGGGGATAAAAGGGAATAAAAAATAAATAAATAGCGATAAGGCTATTCTGTCATTTCTGAAGCATGAAAAAAGGATTGGATTCTTTAGTATACACCTGTAAATTCAATTTTTTTTGTGGGGAGGGGGCAGGAGTGGGAAAATGGCCCCTTTTTAAGGATTGAATAAGCCACGTAACGAATATAAATTCATTTCTAATTTAATTCCTGAGGGAGGCAGCCCAAAGAAACCTCAATAATTTTAATTTTTGGGGATGAGGAGGATTTTAATTTTGGGGGATGAGGGGGATTTTAATTTTGGGGGATGAGGGGGATTTTAATTTTGGGGATGGGGGAATTTAATTTTGGGGATGGGGGAATTTAATTTTGGGGATGAGGGGAATTTTAATTTTGGGGATGGGGATTTTTATTTTGGGGATGAGGGGAAAATATGGGGGTTTCAATTACAAGGATAAATTGGGGGGGGGAGAAGAGAAGGGAATTCATAATAATTTCCACTTCATGATTTCCTTTTCAGTTTAATTTCTCAGGATGGAAAAAAGGAGCCTCCATCATTATTATAAATATTAATTTCTTTGATGTGGGGGGAAAGACAGGGGAAAAATAAGACATGAGGGAGCATGGGTGGTTTCCATTTCAGGGTTGAATTTGAGGAGGGGGGGAAAGAGAAGGGAATTGATATCATTTGCATTTCTGGCAGAATTGGGAAAATTAAATAAATAAAAATTAAAATATTTTTTTCAACCCCCCCCCAAAAAAGAGGAAAAAAAAGGGGGGGCGGGGGGGAATTTTGGGGGGCTCCAGGCTTGGGGCCGGGGGGGAGAAAACCCCTCCCCCCGGCCCTGGCCCCCCCCCCCCCCCGACAGCGCCCCCCCCTCGCGCCCAGCCCGCCATTTCGAGGCCCCTCCGCTCTTCCCGCCGCCCCCTTTCCCAGCAGGCGAAGAAAGGTACGCAATTTGCGTACCCCAACTACCCGGCGACACCCGCCCCGCAGAGAGCCTCTACTTTGCGGCAGTGGCGTAATGGCTTCCAGAATCGGCCCCCTCGTGCCCCTTCTTCTCATTGGCGCAGCTCTTTGCCCATTAGGGGTCAGAGCCCGCCCTCCCCGTCGCCCCAAGCTTGGCGAGAAGGGGCGGCGATTGGCTCGGAGCGCCGCGGCGGGAGGGTCCCTCATCCGGGGAGGGGAGAGCTTGAAGCCGATTGGGCGAAGGAGCCAGGACCCGATTGGCTCCCAGCGTCGTCCGTCAAAGCGTGAGTGCCTTTTTTCCTAATAACGCCGCTCGGATTCGGATTTGGCGTTCTTCCGCCGGCCAACAGGGGGCCCTTGCGTACCGCCTGACGTAGAAGGAGGAGAAGGCGGAGCCAAAGCAAAGACACGTGTTTTTTTTCCCTCCCTCCCATCCTTACTCCTCGCGAGATTTTCCTTCCGTCCCGCCCTCCCGGCTCCCGGATTGGACAACCTGGAGAAAAAGCGGCGGCGACGAGCAATCGGAGGGCGCCCTCAGGGAGGCGGGACGTGACGTCGGAAAAGCCGCTTCCGGTGGGCAAAGGAGGCCACTTCCGCTGAGAGACGGCTCTTGTTTGTGGTGCTCGTGTGGCGGTTATGCCGGCCGGCGCGCGGCGTTCGCTGGCTTCCCCGACGGTCGTTAACGGCGTCTTGTGCCAGTGCGGCGGCGTCTCCCCGTCCTCTTCTTCTCCGGCTTCCTTCTCCTCCTCAGGCCGCAGCGAGGCCGCTTCCCGGTTCCTAGCCGAGCACGAGCGTCGCCTGTACAGCCTCTTCGTCCAGCTGGACGTTAACCGGGACGGCGCGCTCTGCGTCCACGACCTGGCCGTCGGGCTGGAGCGGCTCGGCCTCCACCGCTCCGAGCGGGACCTCTGGGTGAGTTTGCTTCCACCCTGGGTGGATCCACACGTGCGCTCGAACACGCGTGTCGGCTTCTTAAAACACTCCTCGACCCGGGTTTGACAGCTTCTTCTCGTAGCCTGGCTTTTTTTGTTGTTGTTGTTGTATATGTGAGTCTTTTTTCCCCCCCTTTGAATTATCGTCTGTGCGGGAAGTCCTCGACTTGCGACCGTTCCGTTTAGTGACCGTTCGAAGTTAGGATGGCCCGGCAAACAACGGGGACCGACGGCCGTTTTGCGGCATGGTCACGTGATTTATACCTTCGGAATGTTTTGACAACTGATACACACCACAGTCGCAGAGTCCTCCCCCACCCCCCAGTCACCTGATCCCTTTTGTGACCTTCCGACGAGCAACACCCAATGCGGGAACCAGATTCCCTTAACAACCGTGTGACTAATTCGACAACCGCAGCGATTCGCTGTAACAAGTGTGGCGAGAAAGGTCGTAAAATGGGACAAAACCCGCCGAGCGAATGTCTCACTTGGCGACATAGATTTGGGGCTCGGTTGTAGTCGTAAGTCGAGGACTGACTGTATTTTACTGTGTTTGTTTTCTAGCATGATTCCCCGATTTTATCATGGCTTTGTTTGTAAGGACATCCCTGTTTGGTTTGGTGACAGTAACTGCCTCAGATAGAAAGTTCCTACAGAGAGTGGTGAGGACAGTGGAGAAGATTATAGGAAGCTTGCTTCCCCTTATTCAGGATGCTGCTTATAAGCGCTATGTGCTTAGAGCTCAAAGCATTGTGAGAGACCCCACATACATACTTTACGGACTGTTTCTGTCGCTCTCCAATGGGAGAAGAATTCAAAGTATTTCTAGCAGGACTCCCAGATTCTGGAACAGCTTTGTTCCCTGGGCCATCCGTCCGGTAAACTCTCAAGATTTGTTTTTCTCGCTACATACATATATACATCCGAACCAGACTGCGTTGTTTCTCTGTGTCATATAGGCTCAATTTTGCATTGATTTATTTTGTCATGCTTATGGAGTATATCTTGGAGGTGGTGACCCTTTGAGAGCTGTATGCAACAAAACTTCATTTTAATATATGCCGATTAGTGTACATTTAAGGTGACAAAGTTATTCTAAATCTAAAGTTGATGGGATGATTTTTGTGGAGGGTTTTTGTCACTCAAGTGTGAGTGTCGCCTTCAAAAAGAACTGGATGGAAATGTACTAAAGGATCAGAAATATTAAAAAGTCCTCGACTTAACTGTTTGTTTAGCGACGGAAGATACAACAGCGCTGGGAAAAAAACTACGACCAATCCTTGCAGCATCCTCATGATCATGTGATCCAAATTTGGACGGTTGATAACGTGGCATGTCTGATGGCAGCGTCCCGGGATCACGTGATCAGTTTCCCAGCCATCTTCAGACAAGCGAAGTCAATGGAGGAAACTCTATTTGCTTAATGACTGCATGATTTATTTTACCATGGCCGAAGGGTCGTAGATTCAGGGACAACTCGCTTCCGTGTCTTGCATAGAAACTGAAATTCTGGTTTCCAATTGTGGGACCCTCCCTACTTAAAGATAAGTGGGGGGAAAACACAGTAAGAGTTGGAAGGGACCTTGGAGGTCTTCTAGTCCAGCCCTATACCATTTCAGACAAATGGTATTGATCTCGATCTCAGAAAATTTCTTAGTTCAAGGTTGCTTCTCTTCTTGATAAGTTTCGATCCTTGCTTCTTGTCCTGCTTTCTGGTGCTTTCGAGAGTAGATGTTTTAGAACAGTGGTTCTCAACCTGTGGGTCGGGACCCCTTTGGGGGTCGAATGACCCTTTCACAGGGGTCGCCTAAGGCCATCGGAAAAGACATATTTTCGATGGTTTTAGGAATAATTTTATGGTTGGGGGTCACCACAACATGAGGAACTGTATTAAAGGGTCGCGGCATTAGGAAGGTTGAGAACCACTGTTTTAGAATAACAGAATTGGAAGGGACCTTGTAGGGCATCTAGTCCAACCCCCGTCCAAGCAGGAGACACTAAACCATTTCTGACAGATGGCAGTCCAGTCTCTTCTTGAAAGCCTCCAGGGATGAACAACTTCTGTTCCATGGGTGGATTGTTCTCAGTGTCAGAAAATTTCTCCTTATTTCCAGGTTGAATCTCTCCTTGGATCAGTTTCCATCCATTATTCCTTGTCTGGCCTTCGGGTGCCTTGGAAAATAGCTTGACCCCCCCTCCTCTCTGTGGCAGCCCCTCAAATATTGGAAGACTGCTATCCTGTCTCCCCTGGTCCTTCTCTTCGCTAGACTAGCCATGCCCAATTCCTGCAACCGTTCTTCATACATTTTAGTCTCCATCCCCCTAATCATCTTTCTTGTTCTTCTCTGCACTCTTTCTAGGACAATTAACCAGTGGAACAGCTTTCCTCCAGAAATCATAGGGTCTCCATCGCTGGATGTTTTCAAGAAGAGTCTAGACAGCCACTTATCTAAATTGGTATAGGTTCTCCTGCTTGAGGAGGGGGGTTGGACTAGAAGACCTCTAAGGTCCCTTCCAGCTTTATTCTATTCTATTCTAGTCTCGCACCATTTCTGATATCTTCCCCATCCCCCTCTCAAATGCCTGAAACGGTTTACAGCTTAAGAGGAAAAGATTAGGGGCATGCCCCACAAATGAAATTCAATATGATCGTAAAGTCCATGAAGGCGTGTATCTTAATCCATTGATTACTCTATAAAATGCACGTACATCACTAGTGTTAAGTAAACAACGATGTGCCCAGCTGGCTTTCTGCCTCCTTCCTCATGATATGATTCATAATCAGTTATGTTTAGGCTAATGCAAAGAAAAGCTGATAGGGAAGCTGATAGGCATCGTCGCCTGCTTCCCAACTGCATAAGCCTGAAATGAGAAAAATCAGAAACTTGTCCGAATAGACTAGCAGCTCTTCCTCACCAAGTTAACTCTCATTGAGAACTAGGTTTGTGCTTCGTGACACGACACGCGCTGGCTTTTGCAAAAGCAGCCAGATAAATGATTGCTGAGATTAACAAACCACAGTTGTAAGGGAGGTTTTCCTTGCACACATTTTGGGCTTAATTGTGATAGTAAGTCGTGGGCTGTCTGTATATCCTTGCACAAATCTGTCACAAGGACCACTCGCTATGTGTGTGTCTACCAAACCTTTTTCCTGCCCATCCTTCTCCCCCCCCCCCCCCCCCCCCCAATAAAAGCCTTCGAGGGTCTTGCAGATCATTCAACATAATCTGAATAATAGGATAGTCTCACGAGAATATCATTTCTACAAGACTATCCTATAACAGAAGCTGCTTTTTTGGGTCTCTGGGGGACGCTCTAGAAGAGGGGTGTCAAACTGGCAGCCCACGGGGCTGGATGCGTCATGTGGAAGCCATGCCCACCCCAGCTCCACAAAAGGGGGAAAATGACAGCAATGCGACGTGTCGAGTTTCACATCCGTGCTCTAGAAGTT